CACTCTGGGTAAACTCTGAGCTTCTTGTGTCGAACAAAAAAGTCATCTGGAGTCTCGAAAAGCGCCCCTCACGTCAAATCATCCTCTAGCTGAAGTTCACTCTCCCCCTCTCTCGAGGAGTTTTTGTTTACTTCTTCCATATTCCTGCCACCACTCACTCGAGGTGAGGGCTGGCTAAACTCGCAGAACAAGAGTGTTTTAAAATCTCCAGTGAGTTTGAGGAGTTTCAGCAAGCCTGCCAGAGAGTGTCTTATCGATTATGTGTGCTTTGCTTCTCAGTATGTTCTTATTAAAAAAAAAACAGTTATTTTGACTTGAAGTCGTTTAACCGTAATAAAATCTACGGCAATACAATTACATTACTTTGGACTCTATGCTAAGGACTTCTGAAATAAGCGTAAAATGCAATGTGGTTAATTTTGGAGCAGCATGTTGAAACCATTGGCTGAAAAATTAAAAATCAATAGCGGATTAATTTAAAAATTAGCCATTTTTCATAGACGGCGAAAAACATGTTAAAGTAGTTTAAAATGATAATGTTTTGACTACCATGGGTGTCAAACAGTGCCAAGGGGTAAGTCACTCAGCACATTGTGCCAACATTAGATTCGGCACAGCTTGGGCACATCCATCAGCACACCTTTGGCATACCTTCGGCACAATCTCGTAGGGATTGGATTGTTGTAAATTAAATGGGAGCACTGCTGGACAACTGTCATTGAAGTTATTCACAACGCTGCGTGCTGTTTGACTGTATATTCAGGACTATCCTCCAATTGAGTATACCAGAGGAACTCAGACCAGCAGTTCACTTATAGATCTAAATACGAAATGTAGGTTCTAGAGTGGGCTCAAAAGGAAGAGGCTGTTAATCAGACCCCATTAGTACCCTTAATTCACCAAAATTTCGCACACCCGCCACTTCCCGCGTCATCCTCAATCCGATTTATCCTTGCGATTTTAAACATGCAGCTGGAGATCCAGAGCCAAACTGCGCGATGCTCACTATGCCCCTCCTCCCCCTATATTTATTTAAATCCATATTCAGCAAAAATGAAATCTAAGGATAAATTAGTTAAATTTATAGTCATAGATTTTTAATATCAGTATGTTTGACATTTCGAGTTCAAAGCACGGCACATCAACAACGATGTGCAATACAATCTAAAATGAAGTGATTTGCTGTTGATTTCATCGTGTTTCTATATGAACTATTCCAAGGGATTTGCACATCGATTTGCAATGCTTGGCAAGTAGTGCAAATTCAACAGCTAATCGCTTTACATGAACATGATGTTTTTTTTACCGTGTAGGAATCCAACGTGGTGCTTTGTGTCTTCAGCAAACAGTGTTGGCAAAATCATCAATCAAATGATATTTTTCCGCTCTCATACGCTGTCAATATCACGGGTTATATTGGAACAAAATATCATGCTTGATATTGATTTTACAAGCTCCTTTGATATTGCGAGACTATTCACAACGTGCAAAAATCAAGCTGAGAGTTGACTCGACACAAAAATGATTCCGTTGCACATCGTTTTCTTAGAAAGAGAAAGTATAGTTTGCTATCTCTTTTTACTCTTCACCGATGGCACACACGAAGTGACTGCTGCCAGCCGTTATGGCAGTTTCGGTTGCGTTCGGGTGTAAAGCAAAAATCATGAAGCTCAATTGAAGAATCAAAGTGACGATCGACTCACAGATGGCGAGTAGGTGAAAAAGGTAATGACGTTTTGATATCTGTCAAACCACATGATTTTTTTAAAAGTATATCATCATTTTTGTAATTGCAGATCTTAAAACTTGGTGTCACATGACCAGTTTTAGCTTTGCTTTGATTCGCCAATCTCACCAGAGTTTGTTGAGATTTGATATCACAGCTTGCAAAATCTACCGCAGTTGTTTGCTTGTTAATTTTTGTCTACAAATCAAGTGTGATCTTGGACATTGGTGAGATTTCAATTTTTTGATATTTTCCCAACACTGTCAGCAAAGTTGATCCTTAGCATCTTGGCCTTCATTTGGTGACTGATTCGAAATTCTGCCCCTGGGGCGGTGCTGTTACTAACTTTTTAAGGATGGTGTGTTGGGTAAATTTTTAGAGAACGCGGCACATTGTGCCTAAATTAGATTCAGCACAACTTGGGCACATCCATCGGAATACCTTCGGCACAATATCGTAAGTATTGGATTGTTGTAAATAAAATGGAAGCACTGCTGGACAACGGTCATTGAAGTTGTTCACAACATTATGTGCTGTTTGACTGTATATTCAGGAATATCCTCTTATTGAATATACCAGAGGAACTAAGACCAGCAGTTCACTTATAAATCTAAATATGAAGTGAAAGTTAATCAGATCCCATTAGTACCCCTATTTCAAATAATGCTGTAACTCACACAAAACCAAACTACAGAAGTCTATTCATCATCCGCTATAGTCGGTCTCCAAAAATGTTCCTTACCGGTTCCAACTCTTTTCGGCCGCTGATAGACCGTTGCTGACACATCACGAAAGGCTAGATTTCTGGTCTACCTTTGAGGGCATTATAAAACCCTAGAACACAGGACTTTCATTATCCCATGAACACAAAACACCAAAATTTCGCACACCCGCCACATCCCACGTCATCCTCAATCCGATTTATCCTTGCGATTTTAAACTAAAACATTCAAGGTGTCAAAAATACCGGGTTGCCGGGATGGGTATTTTACAAACAATCGCAGCTTGCTCTATGATCGGCACAATTGGCACACTGTCAAAAAAGATGACCCAAGATTGGTGTGCGGAGTGACCTACCCCTTGGCCCAGATGCACACTGTGTAGAGTGATGACCAACGACTTGGATTTTCTATAGGATTTTGCCGAGAATGCCTATGGAAATGTAGGGTAAATTTGAAAGGCATTAAAGTATTCATTCAAAGGAAACGCTAAGGAGGTTTCTTAAACAATTCTGGGAAAAAATCTGAATTTGCTTTTTCCAAATTTCCAAGATAATGTTGAGATGTAGTCCTGAGAAATTCTGAGGAGAGTTCCAAAGTATATCTGCACAGAAGAAAGGAAGCTCTAAATTGAATTCCTAGGTGATTCTGAAGAAACTTGTAGTTGAATCGTGTGGAGGATACCAGACGGATTTTAAGTAGTATTTAAAGCAGTGGCGTCGCGTAACCTCACTTTTTACCTGTTCAACAACTTTGCAAACGTTATTTAGGGCCATGTTTACATTCAAATCAGTTTCAAAGGGCACAGGGTATTCTAGTTTGACTGATTTGTATCCATTTGAACCAATATTGTTTTGTTTGTTTACGTTTTGAGAGTTTGAGATTGAGGTTTATAAACACTCTGACTGATTCAAAGAGGTTTTTAAACATAATTTGAAGGGTGTTCTGATGATAATTTCAAAGGTAAACTGAAGAAGATTCAGAAAAGAACTTCAAGGGAATTGCGAAAAAAGTATCAGAAGGATCATATTTGGAGGATCATACCAAAATTTGAGCAAAAAAAATTAAATTCTTAAGGCCCAAGCGCAATGTGGGCGGAAGCGGAACGGGAAGTTTGACAGTAGTCACAAATGGCATCAAGATGCCTAGCCGAAGTCGATATCATTCTAACTAGTTTTCAATCCGACAAGTAGGCTTACTCAGATCGGGCTTTTTCGCTGCCGCTGCCGTTCTGCTTCCGCTGTCATTGCGCTTGGGCCTTTAGAAAAGTTTCAGAAAAATTCTGAATATCAAGAGACGTTGAATTATGGTACAAGTCCATGTGCAATTGAAAATCAAATAATTATCATCGTCAACCAATAAGGGATGGTCCATTAATTATGTCACGCAAATTTGGCCCATTTTCAACCCCGCCTCCCCCCTTTGTCACATTTTTTGTATGGACCTTATTTTTTTTTGTATGGCTCGTCACAGTTTTCAAAACCCCCCTCCCCCCTAAATGTGACATAATTAATGGACGACCCCTAATAAGCATACATTTTGTATGCTGCGACACAGGTTTTGGGGATGGCAATCCGGTATATAATGCTGTTGTATGATGGACGTAGATTTTCCCCGTCACTTATAAACATAAATCTTAAAATTTATGCCATATACTAGAGAGCTGTTAAGTGCTATAAGTTCGGTTCACAAGAATAATGTATTGTAATATTTGTTCTGGTGTCTTATAAACAACTTATTAACACATTACAGCTCCTAGTTTGAACATGGCCTTTGAGCCATCGAAAATTAATTTAATTAATCTAAAACAATTTTCGCGCTTCGCGTCTAGTTTACAATATGACTGACTACTCCTTGAAAAGAGCTAAATTCGCAGTGCTGACTCATTATATAGGTACACCCAACCCATTTTTTAAGCGGTCTTATTTTCATTTTTTCCGATGTTCAAATAAAACCAAGCTTGACGAAACTGGTGTCCACAAATCTGCAAAATATTAACCAACAGAAAATTTCTTAATTCACCATAAAAAGAAAATTGTGAAAATTCACCTGCTTAAAAACCACCTAAGCCACATAGCCTTTGATCAAGCTCAATATGCAAGAGGAGCAAATTGTATTTGTATTTATCAAGTGTTACGTTAGCCTGCAGTTGACAGTTTTTACTAAATCAACAATTCCGCAAAATACGAACGCATTAAGTGTTAGATCAAAATATGCCCAAAATTCACCTCCACCCAGACCTTTATTATTTGGTACTAACAGAAAACATACCGAACAGCAACTGCACCCCGTACGGTAATCTCTGTTGGATAGGACAGGGAAAATGGAGACCCGGGATAGAGTTGCCACTTTGTGTGATGATGATGACGATGACGATTCTGCCACTCTACCGCTAATGACGGTGACGGACGGACGATGACCAGGAATGACTATCAACCACTACCCTTCCTAAACTCTTTGCTGGGAACCACCAGCAACGGAACAAACCCGGATTACGACGACCACCAACGATACTGTTTTCTCCACTCGAATAGAAAGAAGAAAAAAATGTTTACTTTATTCACTTCACGCCATTATCCGTAATCCGAGCAGCTCCGGGCTTCGTAGCGTGTTACACTTTCATCGCACCGTTCGTTGCCACTGGCACTGGGGACCGTAATATCGCTTTTCGGGGTGGGAACAAACACTTTTTGGTCACTGCCGGAAACAGGACAGAACCGTCGACGGCACCGGAAATTGGTAGCAGGAAAATCGACACCGCAAACTAGCACCAGATATTATGGACTTTCATAAGTCTGCAGAGAGCCTCACCCCGACCCGACGAACGATGACGATGATGATATCACTTTGATTTTTTCTTTTCTTTCTGGCTTTCGCAAAAGCGGCACACAAGACAAGACACAAGCGACGACGAACGCATTCGCAAGGCAGGCTACACGAACAACGAATGACGAACCGATCCGCCGATCTGAGTGGTGAGTCGGATTTTCTTTTTCTTCCTTTTGCTGTTTCTGGCTGATGATGGCTGCTGATGCGAGACGTCAAAAAAGCACAACATCCAGTGGCGCACTGGGGGTGCGTAGTGTTGTTCAAGCGTGGGGGCACTTTTTTGGGTGGGTGTAAGATCAAGGGATAAAAACGAGGGTAAAAAGTGATCAATTACACATTCATGAGTAAAAAAATACACATTTTGTATGTTTATATTAGAAACACTGGAATAATAAGAGACCAGCGGAGAAAAAAAAACATGAATTTGGCAACAAGATAAACATCAAAGCAATCCTGGCATCACTTGCATTTGTAACTGCTTGCGAGTGACTTCGCAAATGCACCGACGAGCGAGTTCATGAGTGATTGTTAAACGAATTTAATACTCCTCCCTAATTGAAGCAAACCATTTGTAAACATTGCAGATTGGAACCGCTTTTGACAGTTCGATTGGAATCATAACAGTGTCTCCACTGGTCTCTTATACCAGTGTTTCTAGTTTATATGCAGCTGTCGAAAATTGTGTACATTAGGAGATCTTTAAATGTGTAAAAAATACCTATTCTAAGAGTGTAGTACCAGTCAAAAAATGTGTATTTTTATTCTTATCAATTGCTGAAATATTTTCACTTAAGCAAATGGTGTGTATCAACGAAGCAGGATGCAGCAAGGTTTGAAGTTTTTTTTTACCCATTACCCGTACACAGAAAAAAAGTTGTTGAATATTACATCCAAACTGCTGCAACCAGGTCAATCCATCGATTGTGTAATATATCCCACACGAATTGCCGGCGAAAAAGTGACGTCATTTGACATTGAGCGACTTGAAGACTGATCGTTCGCCCTTTGTCCGGGATGCGGACGAAGGGCGACTCGCCCCGCTAGAGTTATTTCATCCGCCGGGCGACCAAATGGCGCTCCGGGATCCGGATGAAAGGCGACTCGCCCCGCTAGAGTAATTTCATGCGCCGGGCTACCAAATGGCGGATGGAACTTAGCCATTTTTTTGTGATTTTTTTTCGCGGCGGCTGTCAGTCATCTTTTTATATCGTGCGAGTGAAGAAGTGTTTTTTTTTATCCGCGCCACGAAAATGGCCTCCGATGGCCATCTTGGGAGAGCAGCTAATGGAATATGGAAGGTAAATATGGTAAATATTCTACATGCAAATTGTGCATGATAATTGATGTTGACATTTTTTTTCAGCCAGATCCAGTACAATTTCGGATTATCGGAGGTAGAGCTGGCGACAAGAAGTTGAATAGGGTAAGTATTAAACTGTTTGTGTTATTAATTGACATAATTTTTGAAAATTGATCCGCTGGAGGAATCCGGCTAAGTTAAGCATTCTTACTGATGCAACGCATCAATAAGGATGTTTAATTCATCCGGATTCCTCCGGCGGATCAATTTTGATGTAATTGTTTTTCAAAATTGATCCGCTGGAGGAATCCGGCTGAGTTGAGCATCCTTATTGATGCGTTGCATCAGTTAGGATACATAACTCAACCGGATTCCTCCAACGGATCAATATTGGAAAGTAATTACAAATTCTAACAGACAGATGAAAAATTTGATGATTTTTTAAAATACTTTTTTTCAGCCGACTGCTTCCACTGATCCGCTGGAGGAATCCGGCTGAGTTAAGCATCTTTACTGATGCAACGCATGCCGATGCCGGATCCCGATGTTTATGTTTAAGGTAAAGTTAAGTTAAATTTTTATTAAAATTAAGTAAAAGTTAAAGTTATTTCAATGTTAAGTTAAATTAAGTATGTAACAACTAAATTAAAGTTAAAATTATGTTGAAGTTAAGTTAAAGTTCGGCTAATTAAGTTAGAGTTATGTTAATTTCATGCTACAATTATGTTAAAGTAAAGTTAAAGTTAAGTTAATGTTATGTTAAATTTAAAGTTCTGTTAATAGTAAGATAAACATTTGTTGAAATAAAACTTAAAATTTAGTTAATGTTACGTTAAAGTTAAGCTAGAGTTAAGTTAAGGTTATGCTTAAGTTAAGTTAAAGGTAAGTTACAGTTTTGTTTATGTTAAGATAAAGTTAAGTTAATTTATGTTTAAGATAAAGTTAAGTTAAAGGTAAGTTAAAGTTATGTTGAAGTTAAGTTAACGTTAAGTTAAAGTTAAGTAAAATTTAAGTTAACGTTAAGTTAATGGTAAATTAAAATTATGTTAAGGTGAAGTTTATTCAAATTTATGTATAAGTTACGTTAAAGTTAACTTTAAATTAAATTTATGTTAAAGTTAAAGTTACGTTAATGTTATGGTAATGTTAAGTTATAATTAATTTAAATTTGAAGTTATGTTAAAGTTAAAGTTATGCTAAAAATAAATTAAATTTATGTTGAATTTGTTTCAATTTAAGGTGAAGTTTTGCTAAAATTATGTTCAAGTAAATTTAAGTTAAAGTTATGCTATAGGTAAGTTAAAGTTAAGTTAAGTTAAATTTAAGTTAAGTTTAGTTAACGTTATGTTAAAGTTAAAGTTGATGCTTAAAGTTAAGTCATAGTTCAGTAAATTTTAGGATAAAGTTATGTTAAATTTAAGTTAAAATTACGTTTAGTTAAAGTTATGTTAAGTTAATGTTCGGTTTGAGTTAAAGTTATGTTAATGTTAAAGTTATGTTAAATTTAAGTTAAAATTTAAGGTTAAGTTAATGTTAGGTTAAAGTTATGTTAAAATTTAAGTTATGTTAAATTTAAGTCAAAATAAAGTTAAGGTTATGTTAAAGTTTATTTAAAGTTAAGTTAAAATTTAGTTAAAGTTAAGTTAAGTTTATGTTAAGTTTAAGTTAAATTTAAGTTAAGTTAAAGTTGAATTAAATTAAGTTAAAATTAAGTTAAAGTTAAGTTAAAGTTAAGTTAAAGTTAAGTTAAAGTTAAGTTAAAGTTAAGTTAAAGTTAAGTTAAAGTAAAAGTTAAGTTAAGTTAAAATTAAGTTAAAGATAAGTTAAAGTTCAGTTAAAGTTAAGTTAAAGTTAAGTTAAAGTTAAGTTAAAGTTAAGTTAAAGTTAAGTTAAAGTTAAGTTAAAGTTAAGTTAAAGTTAAGTTAAAGTTAAGTTAAAGTTGAGTTAAAGTTAAGTTAAAGTTAAGTTAAAGTTTAGTTAAAGTTAAGTTAAGTTAAGTTAACGTTATGTTAAAGTTAAAGTTAATGCTTAAGTTAAGTTAAAGTTCAGTTAATTTTAGGATTAATTTATGTTAAATTTAAGTTAAAATTACGTTTAGTTAAAATTATGTTAAGTTAATGTTCGGTTTGAGTTAAAGTTATGTTAATGTTAAAGTTATGTTAAAGTTAAGTTAAAATTTAAGGTTAAGTTAATGTTAGGTTAGAGTTATGTTAAAATTTAAGTTATTTTAAATTTAAGTCAAAATAAAGTTAAGGTTATGTTAAAGTTTATTTAAAGTTAAGTTAAAGTTTAGTTAAAGTTAAGTTAAGTTTAAGTTAAGTTTAAGTTAAATTTAAGTTAAGTTTAAGTAGAGTTTAAGTTAAGTTTAAGTTAAGTTTAAGTTAAGTTTAAGTTAAGTTTAAGTTAAGTTTAAGTTAAGTTTAGGTTATCTTAACGTTATGTTAAAGTTAAAGTTAATGCTTAAGTTAATGTTAGGATAAAGTTATGTTAAATGTAAGTTAAAATTACGTTAAGGTTTTGTTTAAGTTAAAGATGTGTTAAGTTAATGTTCGGTTAAAGTTAAAGTTATGTTAATGTTAAAGTTATGTTAAATTTAAGTTAAAATTTAAAGTTAATTTTAGTTTAAAGTTATGTTAAAAATTAAGTAATGTTAAAATTTAAGTTAAAGTTAAGTTAAAATTAAGTTAAAGTTAAGTTAAAATGAAGTTAAAGTTAAGTTCAAGTTAAGTTTAAGTTAAGTTAAAATTAAGTTAAAGTTAAGTTAAAGTTCAGTTAAAGTTAAGTTAAAGTTAAGTTAAAGTTAAGTTAAAGTTAAGTTAAAGTTAAGTTAAAGTTAAGTTAAAGTTAAGTTAAAGTTAAGTTAAAGTTAAGTTAAAGTTAAGTTTAAGTTAAGTTAAAGTTAAGTTAAAGTTAAGTTAAAGTTAAGTTAAAGTTAAGTTAAAGTTAAGTTAAAGTTAAGTTAAAGTTAAGTTAAAGTTAAGTTAAAGTTAAGTAATAGTTAAGTTATAGTTAAGTTATAGTTAAGTTAACGCTAAGTTAAAGTTAAGTTAAAGCTAGGTTAAAGTTAAGCTAAAGTTAATGTTAAGTTAAGTTAACGTATTTTAAAGCTATATTGAAGATAAGTTAAAGTTATGTTATGTTATGCTCAAGTTATGTTTAAGTTAAGCTAAAGTTAAAGTAATGTTCAAGGTCAAGTTATGTGAAAGCTAAGTTAAAATTAAGTTAAAGTTATGTTCAAATTAAGTTAGAGTTATGTTAATGCTTAAGTTAAGTTAAAGTTCAGTTTGACGATCTTCGAATTTCCCTGAAGTTCTGTGTACTCCCAGAAATTCTGAGAATTTCTCTGAAGATCTTCGAAGTACCCTGAAGCACTAAAAATTTCTCTGAAAGTCTACAAAACTTCCTGAATTTCTGTAATTTTTTCTGAAGCTATAAAAATTTATCTGAAGATCTCCTTTAAGTTCTGCAAATTTCTCTGAGGATCAACAAACTTCCCTGAAATTCAGTATTTTTCCCTGAAGTTCTGCCAATTTGCCTAAAGCTCTGTGAACTGCCCTGAAGTACTGAAAATAACTCTTAAGATGTACGAGGATCTTTAAATTTATGTGATATTCCCTGAAGTTCTGTGAGTTTATCTAAAGTTCTGCGAACTTCTCTGAAATTCTGTCCTATTAATTTCCCTAAGGAACTAAAAAATTATCTTAAATTTACGAACATCACTGTGGTTCTGTTAATTTCTCTGAAGATCTTCAAACTTCCCTGAAGATCTGTGAACATCCCTAAAGTACTGATTATTTCTC